TATCTCAGCCTGAATGAAAATGCAAGACATTGTGTTAGAATGGTTGATCACTTCTTAAGTATCATGAAGAAAAGCCCTCAAATTATTTGACAACATTACTGTGTAGTGACACCAGAATGAGAACATTTAAGTTATGATATGTTGGGGCCCGAATGAACCCATTTCATGTTGAAATGATAAGATTCAGAAGAAGGAGGCATGAAGAATGAACCTTACAATTTGAGGTGGTGGGACATTTTAAAGGCATGTACCAGTATAAGATAAGGTTGAGGCATGACTGAACCCACGTCATGATGAGAAAACAAGATTCAAACCAAGAAGTTATTAAGAATGAGTCTCGTAACTTGAAGTGTCAGGGGAAGACCGTGAATTTGAGCAAAGCTTACCTTGTAAAGCAAATTAACTGAGCATAAATCAATGGTAGAGTCCTGGAAGTACATCTCTGAAAGTGTAATTAAGCCAATGACGAAAAGGGAGCAACAAGATCATATTATTGATTGGAGTAAGAATTCGAGAGAGAAAACATTTCCTCCAAAATAAAGACAGAAAACAAAGACAAGATGATAGGGCTAATCACCAAGAGTAGCAAACTGCTACACTGATATCTGCATAAACCCTAGAGAACAATGATCAAGAGGAAAAAGACCTGGTTCCCCACATTGGAGTCAAAGGAAAACTGAATCAGCATTTACACATGCATGATAACATCATTTGCATAAAATACATGGCATTGCATTCACATTTCACACATAAACATTTGGTTTTTACAGATCTTCCAAGGGAAAAAAGATTCATGGTATTAAAATCACACTAAGTGGAAGCTAGAATTCAAACCTCAAATACAGGGAATCATGTCTGAGGAGGCAGAACCTGAAGAACAGAGTGGGCCAAATCCATAGAAGAAGCATTAGTTTGAAGTGGGGCATGTTCCCCAACCATTAAGTTGTTTTATAAGAAAAAAAAAATGAAATGAGAAAGGTTTCTCATTCCAATCTGAAAATTGAAATTTTTGAAAAGTAAGAAAGGTTTCTTACTTAGTAAAATATTTCCAAAATTTATAAGTCCTTCGGGCCATCCATAAGACCTTTGGGCAGGATGTTTTCACATGTCTATAAAAATATGAGAAACGTTTCTTATTCCAATCTGAAAATTGAAATTTTTGAAAAGTAAGAAAGGTTTCTTACTTAGTAAAATATTTCCAAAATTCATAAGTCATTCGGGCCATCAGTAAGTCTTCCGAGCATGATGCTTAAATCCTTCGGGTCATTTGTAAGCCTTTAGAGTAAGATGATAAGTCATTTTGGCCATCCATAAGACCTTTGGGCAGGATGTTTTCACATGTCTATTGAAATATAAGAAAGTTTCTCATTCAAATTTGAAAATTGAAATTTTTGAAAATTTCAGTCCTAATTCAATGGATCAACTCATCCAGATCTGATATTCCCTTTAGAAGAAGCGGGACAGATTCATCTCTTTCAAGATTTGATATTCCCTGAGTGACAGCGGAATAGATCAACTCATCCAGATCTGATATTCCCTTCAGAAGAAGCAAAACATATTCATCTCTTTCAAGATTTGATATTCCCTGAGTAACAGCGGAACAAGTCTACCACGATTCAATCTTCCCTAAGTGACAGCGGAATGGATCAACTCATCCAGATCTGATATTCCCTTCAGAAGAAGCGGAACAGATCACTCTCTTTCAAGATTTGATATTCCCTGAGTGACAGCGGAACAAGTCTACCATGATTCAATCTTCCCTGAGTAATAGCGGAATGGATCAGCTCATCCAGATCCGATATTCCCTTCAGAAGAAGCGGAACAGATCAATCTCTTTCAAGATTTGATATTCCCTGAGTGACAGCGGAACAAGTCTACCATGATTCAATCTTCACTGAGTGATAGCGGAATGGATCAACTCATCCAGATCTGATATTCCCTTTAGAAGATGTGGAACAGATCATTCTCTTTCAAGATTTGATATTCCCTGAGTGACAGCGGAACAAGTCTACCATGATTCAATCTTCACTGAGTGATAGCGGAATGTATCAACTCATCCAGATCTGATATTCCCTTCAGAAGATGTGGAACAAATCATTCTCTTTCAAGATTTGATATTCCCTGAGTGACAGCGGAACAAGTCTACCATGATTCAATTTTCCCTGAGTGACAGTGGAATGGATCAACTCATCCAGATCTGATATTCCCTTCAGAAGATGTGGAACAAATCATTCTCTTTCAAGATTTGATATTCCCTGAGTGACAGCAGAACAAGTCTACCACGATTCAATCTTCCCTGAGTGACAGCGGAATGGATCAACTCATCCAGATCTGATATTCCCTTCAGAAGAAGCGGAACAGATCACTATCTTTCAAAATTTGATATTCCCTGAGTGACAGCAAAACAAGTCTTCTCAGATTCAATCTTCCCTGAAGAATAGTGGAATGAATCAACATCCCCGATCTGATATTCCCTGAGTGACAGCAGAACAGATCCCTATCATATTTCAAACCTTGAAGTTAACTGGACGAAAAACGTATTATCTTTTCATCTTTGCCCTATTCTTGTTAACACAAGAATGGGCAAAGAGGGGCAGCTGTCGACACTCATTTTTCGTCTCGTTTTTTTTATTATTATTATATTATTAATTATTATTAATATTTCTATTTTTTATTTCTCTTTCAGGCCTTACAACGACCTGGATTTGACCCGACCCAGAGATAACTCGAACCGAGTAGCCTCTGAATGCTCCAACCAAATGTTTCAGCCGGCCACCAAGTTACCAAATATCATCATCACCTACATCAAAGGCCATGATATCAATAAAAATATCATCACTCACTAAAACATAACCAACCCACCATTCCACTACATGATTCCACTACCAATATTATATTGAAATTATAATATTCAAATTAGATGGTGGAGATAATTGGTAAACCATAAAAGAGGGGGAGACCAGATAATACACCAGAGGGGAGCAAAAACGTGGGAGGAGAGACGGGAGAGAGAAAAGGAAAAAAAGGCCTAAGTGATTCTGTCGGATTCTCGCCATTGATCGGAATCTCCGATCACCATTCCGAACGGTCAAAAGTTGCGCAAGACCATCACGAACAACATACTAAAAATTCAGGACGATCAGACGGTGGACAGCGATGGATCAGAGAAAATAAGCCGAACGGTTTTTGGCCTCTTCCCTGCGATTGGAACCTCCGATCAATATTCCGAACGGTCAAAAGTTGCGCGATGTCAACACGAACAGCATACTAAAATTTCAGAACAATCGGACGGTGGCACGGCAGCGCAGAAACACGATGGCCGGTGAATCATTTATGACACATGTTATATATTTTTGGTATAATTTCTGCTTAATCCCTGAACTTTTATGTGTGTTTTTCATTCCATCATATGAATATATATGTTTTCTTGATTTTAACACTATAGTTTCTGTTATTTTATTTTAGTCATCAGTTTATGTTATTTTTGTTTGTTTATGCATTTGGCGCGTAATTTTGATTAATTGGTGTTCTATCATTTAAATTTAATTTGTTCTGTTTTGATTTGGTCTTTGTATTGCATGTTTATTTAATTTTAGTCATAAATGTTGATTATTTTGTTTTTGTCATTTAGACATTAGAGTTCTATTTTTTTGCATGTTTTTTTTAGGTCCTAAAAGTTGATTTATTTCTTCATACATTTGACCATTTAATATTTGCATGTATAATTTAATTTTTACTTTGTTTGTATTTAAAAATAATAATATTTTATTTAATATGGTTTAATCATTAAATATAGTTATTTCGTGAAATTTGTATTTTGAAGTTAATATGTTTTTTAAGTCACTTTCGTACATTATATATTAATATATATATATATATATATATATATAATATATAGTTATAATGTATATAATTTGTGGTGTTTAAATATTTTTATATAACATCATTTTTGCATAATTTGCATGATAGCCTCATGAGCTTTACTTGACTTGAATTGAAATAAATTGACTAAGAGTAATATTCGAGCATTTTAATATTGTTGTAAAGTGACTGTCTTAACGTATAAGAAAGTTACTTTCAATAATTTTAAAATAAAAGTCTATCCTATAAGTGACACCAATTAAAAAAGATTCATTTTTAAAATTTGGGGACTGAAGAAAAGATTGTATTCTTTTAATTAAATTCATCGAGAAAAGACAGTTAGATCGAATCTATGATCTCGTCTCTTGATATTTAATTAATTGAATACCTTTATTCTCATTAAATATTGGTAAATAAATAATTAATCAATTGCTTGATAGTTGTTTTTACTTTTACATGTATTTTTATTCAAAATAATAATGTTCGATCATAAATAATTAAATATTATTATTTTATCTCTAAAAATTATTTTGGGTGTTATTATTTTGAAATTTAGAATGAAATTTTAATATTTTTTATTTCGATTGGAGTAAGAATCGATTGCTTCAAGGTATGATAGATCATTTCTTCTCGATAGGAAATAATTAAATATTATTATTCTTTCATCCAAAATTTCGAAAAATATTATTTTAGGGGATCATAAATCAAATTAATTTTGAACTTGTACATTTTATTGCAAAGACAATTAATTAATCGACTAGGTACCGATTTAGGACACTATGGGGGTGCTAATCCTTCCCCACGTGTAACAGACTCCTGAACTCATTTTCTGGTAACGCGAACCTAAATTTGTTGTTTTAATTAAAATTAATTTTTATTTAAAATGACAAAATATTTTTGGGTGTCCAATCACACATTAATCAAAGATTGGTGGTGACTCCTCGAACAGTATTTTTATCATAAAGGAATTTTTAAATTTTCAAAACGAGAGGTTTTTCAATCACATTTATTTTTAATTTAAATTTAATCTAAAAAGAATAATTAAAAATTGGTGTGATTTCCAAAATCTCATCCCGAAAAAAAACCTTTGTCTCTCCTCCAATATTTATTGTTCCCACAAAGAAAAGAAAAGAAAAGAAAAGAATAGAACGAGATATGAAGAGATTTAAGAATTAAAAGATGAAGACAAGCAACTGAGAGGAATTGAACTTACCCATGAAGGGGAAAAGTAGAAGTTCTTCATGATTGCTACATTGCTGCTAGCCATGCTTCTTTCCACATTTGCTACAAAGTCTTCTGCCATATTTGTAAGGGTCAATTCCTTCAAGGCTTCTACTTTTTCCAACCCATTATGCTTTTTAAGATTTTTGCAGCTTCTGATCTCCACTTCTCTTAACATTGGCATTGCTCCTTGCTCCACAGTCCAGCAGTTCAATTTATAGAGCATCCACAATTTTAAGACCTTTAGCTGCGGAAATCCACTGCGATCACAAGTCATCTCTCTCCCCAAGAAGGACTGAGCATAAAGCCTAAGGACCTTCAGTTGTTTCAGCCCAAGCTTTTTCATTGGATCTTTTGACAGATGTGTCATTGACAGTGTAAGAACTTCAAGCTTTTCAGGAAAATCAAAGGTATCAACTTGATCTGGAAGTTTTGCAAGCAAATACAACTGCGATCGGCTCATCTGCTTCCATTTCTGCATGTCCTCTACTCTCAGGCGTAAAGGTTTATTGAATTTATCTAATAATCTCAATTTCAAGGACTGAAGTTTGTCCATTCGAGTGATCCAGGAACCTGATACTTCACTTGTTGCATCATTGCATGTTATTTTCAATTTCCTCAGATCAACCAAACTCTTCATCCAATTTTTTTCAGGACTCCCACTTTTAATCACCAATCCCCACAGGATCTTCAGATTGTTCAATGAACCACTAGCTGATGGCTTCAGAGTAAACAAATCAACATTGATATCACTCATGTACAAATGCTGAAGTTTCTCTGCCATCCAGATGATGCTAGGCAACTTGGTTATGAAAGTGTGCTTTATGTCTAACGTCTCCAGGTGATGCAGGTCACCAACTGATTGTGGGACCTCATCCAAAAGTGTCCGCCTCAAGCCCAAATACTTTATGTAAGGCAGATTGCCCAGTGTATCAGAAAGCACTGGTTTGTAAACACCTTCTAGATCAAGCACTACAAGCATTTGAATGCGTTTTTCAACAACCTTGCTTAGAAGTTACTTTACTCCATTTGTAGGTGCATCTCCTCTTTTTCCATAGAAAGAAATATAAGAACGCAGTTGTTGAACTCGGGTTTCTATGTCTTTGGACTGAGGGGAAATGCCCGAGTTTTCTGAAAGACGTCGGATGTTAAACCACGGTGATCCACATATACCTGAACTGTTGGAGAAGTGAAAAAACCCGACTTTCTCAGTATCTAGAAAGAGGATGTCATATATGGTATTTGGCACGCGGCACGACTTGGGGCTTCCATTTAATTTTAGCTTTGTAACCTCAAGCATGTTTCTACACTTGAGTTCTTCAAAATATTCTTCCACTAGCTTTTCAGGTGTTTTCACTTGATCTGTTGTTGTCACAAACCCCTCAGCAAGCCACAATTGATACAACCTTCTAAGAGGAATCTCATATGACTTAGGAAAAAGACCCATGTAAAGAAGACAGCACCTCAAATCCGGGTCTAAATCCTGATAGGCTAAAGCCATAGTATCAGACAGGCATTTCATCTGAAACTAACAATTTGTTTGAGGAGTTGCCTCAGTCTGCAATTTCTCCCTTTGTTCTTTTTGCTTCGACTGATTTGGAAAATCTTTTTCATCCGTACTAGCTGTTTTAGGCTCCATCACTGTTGCTTTCCTCTCACTCTTTTGCTTGGCGTTTGAGGAAGCTGGTTTATCAGAGGGGATCATTTGATCTTCGGGGGTTACTTTCTTTTTCTTTCCCATTTTATGAATGGAACGATCTAGCACACTAGACCATGCATCATATTTCTTCCTAGATAACAAATTTCCAAGCAGGACGATTAGAAGAGGTAGGCCATGACATCTTTGCAAGATCTTCTCTTTTAAAGCAGTTAGCTGTGAATCATTTTCATCTTTCTCCGTTTTCTTTGCAGCTTGTACCTTCTTCAAGAACAATTCCCAGCTTTCATCAACAGTTAGAGGTCGTAGCTGCAGAACTACAACCTCTGGGTTGATATGGTATGCTAGATACACATTCCGAGTAGTGATTATCACCCTGCTGCCATTTGATAAATTTGGAAAGAAACGATTTAGTCTTTCCCAAATTTCTGGTGCAGGAACATCATCCAAACTATCAAGAATCTCTTCCAGGTTAAGAAAAGATGAAGCCTTTCCCTCAACTGCTCCAGTGTCAAGCTCTCCTTTTGCTTGGCATTTCTAAGCTGTCCCAATAAGTCAACTAATAGCTGTTTCTCATTGAATTCATCCAACTGCAGCGGCACATTAACCAAAGCTCTACATTTGAAGTGCCTCTTACTTGCTACACTGTTATAGATCGTCCAGACAAGAGTTGATTTGCCTGAACCTGCCACCCCTAACACTGAAATTAGAAAATGCAACTTGTAGCTGTTGAGTGTTATTCCTTCTAACTCCCTTTCTTTATCAATGAAACCAACAATGCCCGACTCTTTGTCCTTACCAGCAGAGAGCCTACTGCGGTGCTCTACAACCGTTTGATTTGAGAAAACTTCTTGCACATCTTTTAAGTCGGGGGACCTTCTCACCGTTTCAGAGTTAGCTTCACCTCCAGTTAGAACAAAAATCACCCGGCTACCATTCAAAGAATTTGGAAGGGAAAGTTTGAGTTTGCCCCAAAGTTTACTTGTCCATATGTCGCATTTGTAAATGAATTTGTAAATGAATTTGTAAATGAATTCCATTACAAACCTTCCGTTTCTGAGTTTGCCCCAAAGATTACTTGACCATCGTCAATTTATTGCCTTTTACAGTTCATTTCAAACCAAATCTCATTACAATAGAATTTAAGAAAAGATTTTTTTTTTCTTTCAATTCTCTGTTTTCATGAATTTCTGCATTGCTACTTGGAAAAATTAAAAGATACAAGACCGGAACTAAATTTTAAAATACACATGGGAGGAAAAAAAAGGAACAGAACTTGGCTTGATCAGTTCACTGCCATCTCTATTGTTTCATGTTGGAGCTTTGGGCTGTTAGAATTTTTGAGGCAGTAACTTCCAGGAAAATGTCAAAATCCCCTCTTAGAAGATTCCGCTTCCAGGGAGGATGTATAGTCAGTGAGATGACAAAATGTTTTTGTTGCTTTGAAATTGAAATCAACTTTACCTCCAAATCCTTCCTTGTTTGTTAAGAATAGAATATAACAGTAATCATAATTTAATTCTACTTTTCCTTTGATTTCATTTAAAGTTGTAAAAGAGAGATTCTCAAAGACCTTGGCCCAGCAAGTATTCATAACTTCATAAGCCATGTTTCTCAGATACTTTATTTTTCCTTCACACAACTGTTTCCTGATATATGTCCCACCCTGAAATTGAGCAACCTGGGCTCAGGGTTGCAATTAATCTCTTTCCTACAAGTATATTGGCAAAAGGAAGATGGACATAAGCACCCAACCCAGAAAGAAAATGGGGAAACAAGACGTTGAACAACTGGATGCCCCAATGATCCTAGCAGTGAAAGGTCATTTAAAGGAGACAAGGAATCCAGTAGCCTACGAGCTTGCCAAACACCTGAAATACCCTCTCATTGACCAAGATGTAACCACCCCATCTCCCCAAGCTTCTCAAGATCTGGATGACATTTCCTTTGGCATTGCTCTAGCAATTGCTTCACTCCAGCTGAAAGTGCTGCAGCTTGGGGTGATCGTCAGCACACCACTCAGTCAAAGAAGCCACTTGGATAAATTAAAGGAGCAGGCAAAGTCTGATGGTGCTGTTCTGGTTATAATTCAATGCCTGCCGAAAGATAAGAACAGTGATTTCACCCTTGAAGGAGTTCCAAGGTTCACCGTTGACACCAGAAAGCGAACCTTTGATGCTGAAGAATTTATTTCAGATGAGTTGGATAAGGTCAGGAAAAGATCTCACCGGCACTTACATCCCTTAATGTTCATTAACAATACAATTGCTGAATCTGAAGTCAAATGCAGCCGCTGCCAGAAATCAACTTCAGGTCCATATTATCAATGTTTTCTAGGATGTGACGAGTATTTATTCGATAAAGCCTGTGCAGAGCTTCCTAGTGACATAGAAATTGTTGGGAAAAAGTGCCCTGATTATTTAAGGCGAAGTCAACCTGAATATCTGTTTCCAAAAGATGTGAGACGTAAGTGCAAGATATGCGAAGATAAAGGCAAAGAGTTCTCAGATAGTTGCCATGATTGCCTGTTTCAAACCAACATGAAAGGTAAATTCCTACCAATCATTGCTAACCATGAATCCCATGCACATCCCCTCAATCTATTAATGATGCCATTGTCCTACAATTATGAGTATAGATGCTCTGGTTGTGGTGATTTTGGCCATTCTATTAGCTACAGATGCTATGATTGCAACTTTAATTTGCATGTCGGCTGCATTTTGCTGCCACGGACCATTTCGTACGACTATGATAAGCATCCTCTCAGGCTTACCTATGATTCTCTTGAACAAAGTTACCTGGATAAAAGTCATTGTGAAGCTTGTAAGAAGGAAAGAAATCCAGCGCACTGGTTTTACTACTGCCCAGCATGTGAATCCACGACTCACTTAGATTGTGTCACAAATCAGTCAATCAGGTCTTAAAAGCCATGGCCAGATCGATCAAGTGACCAAGCATCAAGGGAGGCCCACAAAATTAAGAAGGTATTATAGTTTCTTTTTAATTTCCAAGTTTGCAATTTAACCATGTATTTTTGTTGGCAAATTGAAATAGCCAATGGCCTATGTTTTGTGGAGACTGTTTGTCAGGAAATTTGATTTCATTTTGATTCAAATTTTATTTAAATCATACTCGTCTAAGTTGATTTTCAGTTTTAAACTAGCGAAGTAACCTACACTTTCTAACTTTTATGCCCTCTGTTCTGTTCTTTTAGGAAGGTGGATATAAATAGTTTAAATTAGACAAGAAAAAGGTTATGAAACTTAAACATAGCTTTGATTCACCAAACAATCCCGTGAATGAAACAAGGCCTTCTTCAAAGATTCAGTGAAAACATTAAATATCAAGAGAACATACTACTCGTTAGCCCAAACACATCCACAGTTGGCATTGAATAGAGTTTATCAAGCACCAATCCTTAATTAATCTGGGGTAAGTACAGATTAATTAACCAATCCTTAAATGTCAAAATCCTTTCTTTTGGGTCATTATTAACCTCAGTGATTTTCTCTATTAGGAACCTAATAGTAGAAATTGGAGGAAGTTTCCCAGTTAAAGAAAGGAATCATTTCCTTTCATTTTCCCCCATTAAAGACAAAGAATCTAGTGTAACTTAGCTCCTGCTCTCGGTATATCAACCCTCAAGAACATACAAAACACCTTATAGAGTAGAGTTGTATAAAATTCCATTACTAGTAATGAAACTATTAAAACTTTCTTAAGGTTGAAAACTGTAGTTGAAAGAGCAACTCAGAATACCAGGGTTAACAGGAGTTATTAGGAAGAGGAACAACATTAGTATTTCCTATGATTACCGCCGGTAAGTAACTGCTTTCTGCTTCTTTTTTTATATGATGTTTCAAATGCAGTGCCTTGTGTTCCTGTCAAGATAATCATGATGTATTATGAAAAATAAGAAGTCCAAGCAACATAGAAAGGTTATCAGTAATTGGTAAATACAAGTAGTATAATATTTTTCAGAAATTTTTATATTAGAAAACTTTTGGAGAATATATTAGAAAACTAAATGATTCTCTAATCAATTTCTACATATGCAACATCTAAAGACTAGAGAAAAAAAGACTGATATATGAGAAACAATAACTTCCTTTCTGTTTTTTCCATAAATATTACTTGAGTTTCATACCAATTGTGGTTTAATGAAGATGTTACGTAAACAATTGTAAAACTCAACTTTCTGTCTATGCATATTCAGTTATTACAGGCTTGATTATAATGAGGAAGAGGAGGGGTGCAATGGAGCTAGTTACGCCGAAACTAATGAAGATATGGAAGGATTGGGAGCTTCGATCAATGGTTTTAACGAGCCTTCTGGTCCAAATAATTCTCATTGTCTTTGGAAGCAGAAGAAAATATATTCGGAGAGCAAAGCTTAGAGCCATTGTTTGGTGTTCCTACTTGTTGGCCGACTCTGTTGCAACCATTGCCCTTGGCATACTAACAAACAACCTGGGAGATATATATAATAAAAAAGGTCAGGTTGACTTCCATACAAAACTTCAAGCATTTTGGGCACCATTTTTACTGCTGCACTTGGGTGGCCCGGACACAATTACAGCTTATTCCTTGGAAGACAATCAATTGTGGTTAAGGCACTGTTGGGGACTAATAGTACAGACAGTTGTGACTGGATACATCTTCTTCATGGCCTGGTCGTCAGATAGCCGTCTTTCATTGCTAAGCATTCCAATGATTGTGGTGGGATCAATTAAGTACGGAGAGAAGACTTGGACTCTTTGGCAAGCAAGCAGTGATCAACTTCGAGACTCGATGCTCACTTCTGCAGACCCTGGTCCGAACTATTCCAAGTTGATGAATGAATATAGGCTGAAACAAGCTGAAGGTTTCTTTATGGAGATTGAAGAGGTAAAGGATGTTCCAGAAGAGTTGGATGTAGCTGCCCCTCCAGGAACCACTCCTGATGAGCAGAATATAATCAAAGCCGATGCCTTGTTTCAAACATTCAAGTACCTGTTTGTAGATCTCATCCTAAGCTTCAAAGATAGGGAGAAGAGTCAATCTTTGTTCCAGAAAATGTCCAGTAAAGAAGCCTTTGATGTGGTGGCTATTGAACTAGGGTTCATGTATGACAAGCTGTACACAAAAGCAACAGTAATTTATACTCCTCCAGGTTTGATTCGCCGCATCGCTACTTTCTGTCTCACGTTGCTGGTGCTGCTGGTTTTCTGTTTTGAGGGCATGAAGAAGTATAAAAAAGCTGACATATCCATAACCTCCATCCTCCTCCTTGTAGCAGTTGTTCTGGAGATAATTGCGGCACTAGTATTACTATTCTCGGACCAAACCAATCTTTGGTTGATCAAGCACAACAAAACATCATGTCTCAAACTCATTCATTCTTTACAACCATATTTAAAGCAAAAGAGGTGGTCAAGTCAGGTGCCACAGTCGAGTCTACTTCGCATTTGCTGCAAGAAGAAGCCTTATTTTATACTCCTGCAAAAGGTAGTGGAAAAATGGCCAAGTGAAACTTATGTAGAAGTCGATGATGATCTCAAAGAATTGATTTTCAATCATGTCAAAGAGAAATTTAATCATTTTCAGGAGAAACAAGATGACGGCAATTTTAGAGATTTGTGCAGCCAAAGGGGAAACAACATACTTCAAAAGTATAAGAAGCAGACTCACCTTAGCCTTGAGTGGAGTATCAATGTTGAATTTGATCAGAGTATCCTTATTTGGCACATTGCCACAGAGCTCTGTTACTTCTCAGAGGCACCTCTGAGTACAGTTACAAGTGATATTCGATCATCCCGGGAAGTAAGCTATCGCATCTCAAATTATATGTTCCATCTGCTGATCGCTTACCCTTTCTTGTTGCCGGTTGGGATCGGACTTATCAGGTTCCGTGATACCCAGGCTGATACCAAGAGGTTCTTCAAAGAAAGATTAACCCTTTCACGAACAAAGAAAGAAAACAGGATTAGATGTAACAAAACACCTCTTCAAGCCAGTGACAGTGAGTTCGAAGAGCAAGAAGAAGAAAACACCAAAAGTACATATTGGAAGTCATTGCTTCGAGCCATGAAGTTCGAGCAAGAACCAACGATGTACCAAATGATTGCAGCTTGCCACATGTTGCTTCGAGAAAACATCGACGTTCTACCAGGGAAAGTGAAGGGGGATAGCAGCAAGTCTGTTTTGTTCGACGCATGCAGACTGGCATCAGCATTAAACGGAGTAACAGACAAGAAAGTTAGATGGGATATGATCAGAGATGTCTGGTTGGAGTTGTTAGCTTATGCTGCTAGTCACAGCAGAGGGAGCCAGCATTGTCAACAGCTGAGGCGAGGTGGTGAGCTTCTAACCCATGTCTGGCTTATCATGGCACATTTCGGCATGAGTGAGCAGTACCAAATATCTAAAGGCTACGCAAGAGCTTTGCTCACAGCAAAATAACCCCAGTTCTTCATTTTTATTTTTATTTTTACAATTTTCAGTAATATGGCAGCCATGAATATGAATTTCAATTTCCTTTTTTTCTTAAAAGAATTCAAGAAATAATTTAGCTGGGAATTCAGTTGTCTCTAGCAAAGATTCTACTTGGATAAATTGCATTCATATTTCATAATCATAACAAGGAAGGATTCACATGTTCTTATGGTACAATTATTGATACAAGAAAAGAACTAGTTTAACTTTCTCATCACCATATGTTAAAAACTGTTAAGAGCTCTTAACTTTCTCATCATTCTTCAGTTCCTTGAGATTCCTCCACAAATACTTCCCGCTAGCCATGTCCACAAATACCCAGAACCCATTCTGCACCATCTGAAAATTCAACAATATGAAGAGGAAAAAAAGTCGGAAACAAAAATCCAAACAAGAAAAAAGAAACCCGGAAAAAAAGAGAAAAAAGAAAAAAGAGGAAACAAAATATTTTCATACCCTTTTGAAGCTGAATTCTTCTTCTTTGACAACGATCTTCTCCCCATCCTCTGAAACTTCGCCTTCGGTGTCAGGTGATGGACGCACGGTCCTCCATGCGACATAGCCTGCTAAAATAGCTGAGAAAAACACCAACAAGAACCTCATAGGACACATTTCGCCTCCCCTTTTTTGTTTCGGGACAATCTCTGCCTTGGTTTTTCTTCAATAGTTAATGAGTTGGAGAAGATTCTAACAATCCCAAACTACTTTTTTTTGTTGTTGAACAGAATGGGATTTGTTAAGAACAAAAACAAGGGAGAGAAATGGTGGGAATTTTCATTGTTTTATTATGTGAAAAACTATATCCTATGTGTAAGCCACGTTCCTGAAGAATTCTGCACAAAGGGGACGCAAGGATTTGGTATTAGGTATTGAAGAATGTGAATAATGGCTCACAAGTCAGCCTTCACCACACCGACGCCATTAATCAATCAATTTTGGGTAAACTATACGTTTAGTACTTAAACTATTTTTTATTCCGTTTTGGTATCTAAACTTTTATTTGTTTCAAAATTATACTAATATTTGCTTTTTATTTCGTTTTGATATCTCGTCATTAACATGACACTTTCTATGAGTAAATTATATTCAGTAATCATTCAACTATCTTCTCACTCCTATTTTGGTCACTAAAGTTTAATTTTTTTAATTTAGTTACTTAACTTTTAAATTACTCCTAATTTAATCACTCTAACTTTTAAATTTAATTTTTTTATTTTAATTATATACTAATAAAATAAAAAATCCATGTCACAAAACTTATTAATAAAATAAATAATAGTGATTAAAACATGAATAATTTGAAATTTGAGTAGTTAAATAAAAAAAGTAAACTTTAGTGACCAAAATATGTGAGAGAAGATAATTGAGTGATGAATGATGTGATTTACTCATAAAATTCATAGGTAAACTTTTAACACTACCTACCAAAATGAAACATAAACTAAACGTTAAATATGGTTATGAAATAAATGAAATTTTAAATACAAAAATAGAATAAAAACAATAGTTTATATACTAAATATGTAGTTTGCCCATCAAAATTTTAGCTTTGTGCTTGTTTGTAGGGGAATTAAAGAGTTTTTACACCCTTTAATTAAGGGCTGAGACCCATTCTTTGGACCTACGTACATATCCAATAAATATACAGTTGAGAAAATCCACAAAGTTGTCTAAACCAGACTTTATAATTTGAGTTAATTGATCACATGTACTGAGAGTATGACTCAATTAAAATTAGTCTCTAAACTTTTAAATCTTTCAATTTCATCCATAATATATGACTATTATTTTAAATTAGTCCTCAAACTTTTGAATATTTCAATTTCATCCCCAACAATGACATTCATTCTAAATTGGTCCCTAAACTTTTTTAACATTCCAAATTCATCCCAAACTATATGTATATACTAGCCACATCCCTTGTTAATAGAATCATTAGGCCAAGTTATGTTATTATATCCTTGGGAAAACAAAAAACAAAATTTAGGCTAAATTATGGTTGAAACTAATTACATATTTGCATGAATTTAGGGATAAAAGTATAATATTCAAAAGTTTATGGACCAATTTAGGATGAGAGTCATAGTGTAGGGATGAAATTAGAATATTCAAAAGTTTAAGGACTAATTTAGAATGAGAGTTGGGGATGAAATTAGAATATTCAAAAGTTTAAGGACTAATTTAGAATGAGAGTTGGGGATGAAATTAGAATATTCAAAAGTTTAAGGACTAATTTAGAATGAGAGTTGGAGATGAAATTGAAATATTCAAAGGTTTAATGACTAATATAAAATGAGATTTATAGTTTGAGGACATATGGTGCAATTAACTCTCATAATTCACTTAATAAATTGGGTAAACTATATGTTTAGTACCTCAATTATTACTTTTGTTTCGTTTTGATCACTCAATTTCATTTTAGTCACTTAATGTTGACTGTCCATCCTAACTGTCTAGGCATTTCTCAATTTCTTTTATTAATTTAGGGTGAATACAAAGTAATATATGTTTAAAAGATTATTAACCATTTGAAAATAAATGCACATAAGCATGTGTAGAAGACATGCTCGATCTCAAAAGATAACAACATTCTCTTAATCACTTTATTATTGATCTTAAATGTGTTAAATGTCTTTTAATATACCGTACCTTTTTTGCTTATTGATCTTTATCTTCCTTACCAATTTCACCTCGTGATTGTGTCATGACTCAGTTCCCAGACACAGGTAAGATTTCCAGCTCTACAATTATCACCACAGCCCCACATAATTAATCACTTTAAATAACCAAATTCCCATGTCCCGATCTCAAAATTGCTTACTAATTGAAATTATCGAGTTCTTCAAGTGTTCTATCCTAAGAACAACAATGAATGCATTAGCAGCAACCAAAAGAAACTTTAAGCTAGCAGCAAGGCTTCTTGGTTTGTACTCTAAGCTTGAAAAGAGTTTGCTAATCCCTTTCAGGGAAATCAAGGTGTCTACATTTCTCTTTGTTTCTCCATTTTTTTTCCATCATTCTCTTGAGATCTGCAGATACACTTGATTTGTGCCGTATTTCTCAGGTCGAATGCACCGTGCCGAGAGATGACGGCACATTGGCGACTTATGTCGGGTTCAGGGTTCAGCATGACAATGCGAGAGGCCCCATGAAAGGAAGAATCAGATATCACCCTGAGCTTGAGCCGGATGAAGTGAATGCTTTAGCACAACTAATGACATGGAAGACTGTGGTTGCTAACCTACCATACGGGGGTGCGAAAGGCGGGATTGGATGTGATCCGGAGAGTTGAGTTTATCGGAGCTCGAACGTCTTACTCGAGTTTTCACTCAGAAGATACATGACCTTATTGATATTCACAGAGATGTTCCAGCGCCAGATATGGGTACAGGACCACAGGTACAACTTGTGATATATATGCTTCGAAAATCTCGTTTCATTTGAATTTTCTTTCTACCTAGTTGGTTCTAGCGTTCAAAAAGTGTTCCGAAATCGATGATTGTAACATTTTCTGTTGGTTAAACAGACAATGGCATGGATACTAGATGAATACTCCAAATTCCGCGGCTATTCACCCGCTGTAGTTACCCGAAAGCCGCAGTAAGTATGTCCAAAACAAGGTAGACCATTCGACATCGTAACTTTTTTTCATACTGATTCAAGCTGTTCATTTAGGATCTTGGAGGATCACTCGGCAGAGACGCAGCTACCGGCAGAGGAGTTGTCTTCACCACAGAAGTACTTCTTAATGAAAAAAATTCGTTATACGGGTGCACGTCCGACACCCAAAAAATTTAAATTCCGACATGGACACACTTAAAATGTATCAAAAATTTCATTTCAGGGCTTTGGAAATGTTGGTTCCTGGGCTGCTAGACTCATCCATGAGAAGGGTGGGAAGATTGTTGCTGTAAGTGATGTCACAGGAGCCATAAAGAACAGCAAAGGAATTGATATTCCTAGCCTACTCAACCATGTCAAAGAAAACAAGGGGGTCAAAGGATTTCACGGCGCGGATACTTTGGATCCCTAGTCAGTCCTCATCGAAGACTGCGACATACTCATCCCGGCAGCACTTGGAGGCATCATCAACAGGTTTCACCCTTTATTTTTACACTTCCTTTCCTGAAAATCAGTTTGATATTTTACACCAAATGTTGTCCTTTTGATCTTTATTTAAGGGAAAATGCAAACGAGATTAAGCCAAGTTCATTATCGAAGCTGCTAATCATCCTACTGATCCTGAGGCTGACGAGGCTAGTGCTCGTTATCCGAATTTGCAACTTCGAACAGCTAAAAACATGTGCAAACAGATTCATTTCCTTCCATTCTTCACCTGCAGATCTTATCGAAGAAAGGGGTCGTTATCCTTCCTGACATATACACAAACTCCGGAGGAGTGACCGTTAGTTACTTCGAGTGGGTGCAGGTACATGTGACAGACCAATCCTCATTACCATCACCATTCTTCACGCTAGGAACACGAAAATAATCAAAGGTCATATGTTTTGTTGCAGAACATTCAAGGCTTCATGTGGGATGAGGAGAAGGTGAACAATGAGCTAAAGACATCCATGACCAAAGCATTCAAAGATGTTAAAGACATGTGCCGTATTCACAACTGCGACCTCCAAATGGAAGCGTTTACCCTCGGGGTTAACCGTGTCGTGGAAGCGACTGTTACGCGAGGTTGGGAAGTGTAAAGAGGCCATCCTTATGCTGGTATGAATAAAAGATGGGAGAGGCTATTATGACTTATGAGAACCATGATTTTTGGTCCACAGCATTGCAGTTCTGCCGTTGTGTTTTGCTGCCTTTATTAGCACCAGTTTTGTCCACAAGAGGTTTCATTAACTATGATAAGATTCATGGCTGAGCCATGAACAAGTTTTGCCATTTTCATTTGTTGTCTTATTAGATCACCTTTTTGTCCCTAAATAACGTTCCATTAACATGTGGAACTTGAATATTCAGAATTTTAAAAATCTATGAAAACAAACACTTAGACCCTAACAGTGGAGATTCTTCTGTCCAATTTAAAAACTAAATGCAATTGATCGAACTAGGCCCCACTGCCACAAATTATGACGTAAGCTCTCCCAATTTAGGAGACCTTAGGCGAGTGCCCCTCCCAAGTGCAATGGAGATCACTAACCTAGGCCATGCGTCTTGTAGATCACCCATCAACCCCGTCCAAGTAAGTATGTTGCAAGGATGCTAGTTGCCACTTATTTATGAAGTCCAGGTTGTGGTTCTTCCTCTTTCTTAAACGATATGGGATTAGTGTTTCATCATGATTCTCCACTTCCCTGAAGACCGGTGGGGCTGAAGAAAGAATACATGGAACTAGTGAACATATAAGAATGTGTTTCCTTGTTTCTTTATCTCAATGATACAGCAAAAGCTGTAAATCAGACATGGACTCTCTAATAGTCATATAAACTAAGATATCAGTATGCAAAAATAAGTTCTCAATGGAGTTTGGGGGGGTTTTCGTAACGAAGTTTGCTCATCTTTTAGCATCAATGCTACCAAGAGCATGTTATAGTTCAAGAGAATTAGAGAAGAGTTTGAGAATGAGGAAATAGAGAAGAAAGGATTTTAGGAAATGAGAAAACGATTCATTCATAATCTAAGGAATCAATCCTTACAGCCAGTCTTATTTTGTTACAAGGCTAGAAATGTAAATAGCAAATAATGCCAGCTGACGTTACAGTTATAACAAACTGATTCCATCTTCCTCTTTCAGGTTAATGGGCCACCAGTCTTGGGCTACTTCAACTCTGCTTGGGTCTGGAACTCCACTAAATCCAATGCCTCCTGAACCGGTTCAGCTGCACGCATCATTTGAAAGGGTAAATGCATCCTTTCCTCTTCTTCAATTGCAATCCCTAATTCCCTTCCTCACATTCCTTCTCTCGATTCGATTCCCAATTCACCATCCTCAATCCCTAACCCTAGGCCTCCTCTTTCCCCAATTCCTTCGTTCTCTTCGCCCTCCTCAATCTCTTCCCTCTCATCTCCACCAACTATAACAATACCCGCCGCTGGAATTGATCCTTGTCCCCAAGGATCAAACTGTGGAAACTGTCTTCGAAGAACAGTATAGTCCTCCCACGAATCACTGGTTTCATCAAGGTTTCTCCATCGCACCAACAATTGAGATACATGTTTGTTATGTCTATTTATTATTCTTCTGCCCATAACCTTATATGGCTCAACGCGAATCTGACCATCATCATCCATTGCAGGAGGTTCTGTAGAAGAAATGACCGAGTCACCCACATGTTTCTTGAGGAGACTGACATGAAAAACTGGATGCATTCTAGAAGAATCTGGTAAGTCCAGTTTATATGCAACTTCACCAATTTTCTCAAGAATTTTATAAGGACCATAATACTTTGCTACCAATTTTAAATTTTTTCTCAGGGCCAATGAAGTTTGGCGATAGGGTTGCAACTTCAGGTAAACACTATCCCCTACTGCAAATATCCTCTCTGTCCTCTTTTTATCTGATTGTTGTTTCATTATGCTGCTGGCCTGTTCTAACTGCCATTTTACCAACTGTCTAATACTCTCTCTGCTAGTCATTAAATCATTAACAGACTGTACTGTAGTTTCTGTCTGCCAAACCATAGTAGGAGGTTTATACCCATATAAAGCTTGAAATGGTGTCATCTTTAGGGCAGAGTGATAGGTAGTGTTATACCACCATTCTGCATGTGGCAACCATTTAGCCCATTGCTTTGGTCGAAAAAAACATAGGCCCCTCAAATATTGTTCTAAACACTGATTAACCCTTTCTGTTTGACTATCAGTCTCTGGATGGTAAGCAGTGCTAAACAATGTCTTAGTCCCTAACTACTTCATCAGTTCTCTCCAGAAGAGACTAGTGAATGTTTTGTCCCTGTCCGAAATGGCCATTTTAGGCTGGCCATGAAGTTTATAAACAATATCCAAATATAATTTGGCTACATCAGCAACAGAATAGGGATGTGACAATGCTAGAACATGACTGTATTTTGTAAATTTGTCAACAACCACCAAAATGCAATTTTTCCTTAAAGATGTAGGTAATCCCTCAATAAAATCCATAGTAATGACCTCCCAATCTTGGTGAGGAATAGGAATTGGTTGTAAGAGTCCTGGTTTAGCAATATGCTCCACCTTTGTTTGTTGACACATTGTACAAGCCTTAATATAAGCTGTGACCATAGCTTTCAATCTAGGCCAGTAAAAATAAGCCTTAATTCTCTGATAAGTGGCATGTATACCAGAATGACCCCTATGGGGTGAATCATGTAATATTTGAATAATATGCAACCTTAGAGTTCTATTAGCCCCAATATAAACTCTATTTTGAAATCTAAGGATGCCCTTAGAATATTTCCACCTAGTATCAACACTAGGATTAACTGTTAAAATAGATATCCATTCAGCAGCCATTTTATCCTCTTTATAAGTCTCTTCCACCTCTTGCACCCAACTAGGAATGATCAAAGTAGTACTCAAAGATAAGCATTGACCTTGATCTTCCCATTGTCTAGAAAGGGCATCAGCAACTACATTTGACTTTCCCTTCCTGTACTGAATAGTGTAATCCAATCCCAGCAGTTTAGTCAAGCCCTTCTTTTGAATAGCAGTAGTTAATTTCTGCTCCAATAAATACTTAAGAGGTTCATGGTCTGTTTTAATAACAAAAGGACTGCCTTCTAAATAATGTCTCCATTTAGAAGCGGCCATTAAAATAGCAAGGTACTCCCTTTCATATATAGAAAGAGCAGCATGTCTAGGACTAAGTGCCTTGCTAAGGTAAGCAATAGGCCTTCCCTCCTGAGATAATACAGCCCCTATTCCCCCTGAACTTGCATCTGTCTCCAAATAAAAACATTTACCAAAGTCTGGTAATGCTAAAACATGGGCCTCACACATAGCAGACTTTAATTTCTCAAAAGCCAATAAAGCCACCTCAGTCCACTTAAAACTGCCTGTTGGATTTTGATTTATGAACTTATATGTTTTATTCATTTTTGCATCATCATTAGCAATATGACCAATTTTGCCATATCACATTATTTATGAATATTGATTTATGAAACTAATGGCTAACCTCTCTTTTGATTGTGATCTTAGCAGCTTAAGCTTATAATTAATAAATCAATTGGCTAAATGATTTCAAAACCTTGTTTTACAATGTCTTTTTGATTTAACAAAAAGGGGGAGAAGAATAGGTGTTAAATGTTTTACATAATAAATTGAAGAAGTCTTAAAGTAAGGGGGAGTAATTTCAAAACTTGATTTCAAAAATCTTAAAATTACTAAAATGTTTTGTTATATCAAAAAGGGGGAGATTGTTGAAACATTTTGATATTTCGATATAACAAATTAAGTTAAATGGATTTTAAGATTTTCCAAATGATTTTCTAAGTATATTCGATATAACTATTCGAATATCAAAACATTACTCCAAATATTTCAAAAATCATTTTTAATCCTTACTTAAGTGTAAAATTAAGTTTTAATCATAAAACAATTTCAAAATAATCTTACAAAGTATTTCGAACCAATTCAAAGCCAAAAATTACAGATTGCTCAGAGGGAACCGATTCCCCCCATAGGAGGAATCGATTCCCCCTAAATAGTTTTGGCCCCGAGATTTCCAGAATGCTCGGAGGGAACCGATTCCCCCCATAGGAGGAACCGATTCCCCCCTAAACAGTTTTGCTCCGAGAATTTCAGTATGCTCGGAGGGAACCGATCCCCCCCAAGGGGGTACCGATTCCCCCCTTGTACAACGGTCGAAATATTTGAATTTTACACTTAGGAACCGATTCCCTTCAAGGGGGAACCTATTCCCCCCACGCTCCAAGCTGTTTTATTAAATGTTTTCACACTAAAATGGCTATAATATCTTCTCTAATCATCCCCAACGTTCAGAAGTGATCCAAGGTGTATTTAAGCAAGCTTAGAAGCCATTGATCAAAAACAAGAAACATCAATCAACTAGAATCAAGAGAGAATCAAAGAGAAAGCATCAAACCTCAAGTTTGAGTATTTCAAGCCTATTTTTCATCCAATATTCATTTGCTTTCTAGAACACTTTTGTACTCAATTGTATTTATCCTTGAGTGTTCTTTTCTTTGTTCTAGAATTGTGCAAACATCTTACCTTGTGAGGTTTTCTTGTAAGTTTGCAAATTTGTAATCTTCTCTTTGGGAAAAAGAGTGTTCTCAAGAGTTGGGCTATACTTTTGAGGGAATTGTAAGGTTATCTCTTTGGCCTCAAAAGAAAGAACAAATTAGTGAATTTGTTGGAAAATCCTTAGTGTGGATAGCTAAGGTAGTGGACGTAGACTTTATTTGAGAAAGTCGAACCACTGTAAATCGCTGTGCAATTACTTTCAATTTTCTGCAAAAGCTTCCACAAAAAATTTAATTGCCAATTCACCCCCCTCTTGGCCGATTTCGTCAATCGATTAACTCAACACTGCCCTTCTTGAGCAGTTGTGTCAAGGGTTTACTGATTGTACCATAACTCTTTATAAATCGTCTGTAATAGCCTGTTAATCCCAAAAATCCACGCAAAGATTTTAGAGATTTTGGCACAGGCCAATCCTTCATAGCTGTAACTTTAGAAGGGTCAGTAGATACTCCAGAAGCTGATATAATATGGCCCAAATATTCCACTTGAGTCTGCCCAAAGAAGCATTTGGACCTCTTGGCAAATAAATTATTAGTTTTCAAAATTTCCAAAACTAATTGAAGATGAACAACATGATCTTCCATAGAGGTATTGTAAACTAGGATATCATCAAAAAAAACCAAGACAAATTTTCTAAGAAATGAACTAAATAATTCATTCATTGGAGCTTGGAATGTAGCAGGGGCATTAGTAAGCCCAAAGGGCATTACCTTAAATTCATAGTGGCCTTGATGAGTTCTGAATGCTGTCTTGTAGATATCCTCAGGTTTAATTCTGATTTGCCAATAACCAGACCTCAAATCAATTTTGGAAAAATATATTGCTCCATGTAACTCATCCAATAGATCCTCCACCACAGGAATTGGGAATTTATCCTTCACTGTCATGCTGTTTAACTTCCTGTAGTCTACACAAAACCTCCAAGTACCATCCTTCTTTTTTATTAAAAGACATGGAGAAGAAAATTGACTTTTTCTTGGCTTAATAATAGAGGATGATAGCATATTAGCAATCTGCTTTTCCACTTTAACTTTCTGATTATGTGGAAATCTATAAGGTCTTAAATTGATAGGAGCAGCTTCAGGCTTAAGGGTAATAGCATGATCATGATTCCTTGTAGGTGGAAGACCTGTAGGTTCAGTAAAAACACAGTGATATTGGTCCAAGAGAGATTGAATAGCTGTAGGAACAGACTTGGACCCTTCAAACATAGTAAATAGGACTACATGTCCCAAAATAGATAAGTCAGAAGCTATCATCTTCAATAGAGTAGCTCCTGAAATTTTCTGCAGAGAATTAGATTGTTGCTGACCTTGTATAATAATCTGCTCCCCTTTATGCACAAAACTCAATGTCATATTATTGAAGTCCATCAAAATTGGACTGAACAATTTCATCCAATCCACACCTAATACCATATCACTGCCCCCCAACTGAAGTAGTCTAAATTCATGTATAAAAGAGTGCCCTTGCATCTTCCATTCCACCTCATTACACCTTGCTGAACTGTAGAGTTGCTGTCCATTAGCTACTGTAATAGCCAAAGGATAGGGAGTATTAACCTGTTTACCAGCATCAGCCCACTGAGGTGTTAAAAAACTGTGGGTGCTACCACTGTCAATCAATATACTCAGTGGTCTCCCTTGGATTGTTCCTTGTATCCTCAATGTAT